CTATTGCTAAAGAATTTCCCTAGTCACAATGAATAATTTTATGTAAGTTATCTTATGGCTGACAGAAGTCTTGAATTCACCTATTCCATGGCAAAATGTTGCTAATTAATAACAAGGATACTCCATGAGAGGGGACAAAATGATCACCTGTAGCAATTTTGTTTGTATATGTAGACTGTGGAATGCTTTAAATGTTTAGAGTTTGTTTGTTATACTTGATCTCTGGTCCAGTGTTTTTCAACCTCAGCAATTTTAAGATGTGTGGACTTCAACTCCCAGAATTCCCCAGCCAGTATGCTGGCTGGGGAATTCTGGGAATTGAAGTCTACACATCTTAAGTTGCTGAGGTTGAGAAACACTGCTCTGATCAATGACCATAAAAAGTTTAAAATTAAAGGACAAATGCACATACTTATAGAAGTCCTATAACAACCCAAAGAAATCAATAAATACAGAAAATAAATTCCAAAGTTGCATTTCAAAGCAAGCTAACTTTCCATACTTTGTTATTGCATGTAATCTAAAGCATGCTAAATTAGAAGCTTCAAAGAAAAATAGTTTGATATCAGTAAATTAATATTAAGAAAAGGGCTGAAGAACAAATCTTTCAGTAAGCCATATTGTCTACCTTAAGAAGTATGTGAACTAAATATCAAGAGTGGTAAGATCTGAATATCCTAGGCTCAATGAAGAACCATTACATTACAACCTCAGGAAAGGGTCAACACCTGGCTGGGTTTGGAAGCTAAGCAGAGTCGTTCCTGGTTAACACTTGGATGGAGGACCTTTAAGAAATACCAGGATTGTAGGTTCAACTGGAAGAAAACTTCCTGGAAGAAGCCAGTGGCAAGGCCACTTCCGTATTAGAGGTCACTAGGAATTGAACTCAGCTTGAAGAAAATGTTGCCTTTATTATGTAAGATGTATATAGGTAGCAGATCTCAATTCATCTAATATCTCCATTTCCTTGGTCTTAAAGTTAATAAATATAGCCCTCATCTTCTAAATTCCAAAAGAAGGAAAATGTAGTTTTAAGGTTAAAAACATGATGAATTTACAGTATCAATTGAGCTCTACAGAACAATATGCTGCCTATTCTTGGTAGATGTTAGTCACCAAATTATTGCTTTCATAAAGTTCAAGTTTACACTGTGTTAGCCTAGTTAACACCCAATAAGCTCATCTCTACAAATGAATATCTGTCTTTTATAAGAAGCTAATCTTGACATTCCTTAAAACCTGAGCTACTAGCACATTTTTATTGTGTCAGATTCTCTGTTCATATAAACTGCATGAATGACATTTGAGCTGATTCTGAGACACATTTTGCTACTAGGTAAATTTATATGCACATACACTACATACACATAAAAATTATTATTCATACTGAGTCCAGACTATCTTATGATGAGTGAAGAGTTAAATTATGAAATATAACACATTTGGTTAAAAACTAAACCCAGAAAGCTTGCAATAATTATGTTCTGAAGATGAATAGATTTAAGTTTCAGGAAAAAAAAATTGCAGGCTTTTGAAACAACAAACTTAATCGACTCTATATTTGAAGAACAATTAAGCTACCAATATGCACAATCTGAAAGAAATATATATTTCTTTCAAAAAAAATTAAGAAATATAAATATCTGGCCCTTCTTTGATCCACTTTGTCAGTTTATTTTATACACGTATTTATTACAGTAATTTGGATGCTAATGTATGCCTACTCATCAGATTCCAGTTTGTTGGCTTCATATCTAAAGATTAATGAAAAAGGTGTAATAGGAAATGTAACCTGTTTTTATAATAAATATTTTACATAATTAACAGAAGAGAAAAAATATTTCTTGGATTGGTACACCTAGCCATGAATTTTAATAAAACTCCAAATGCTGCTGCCTGACTTATTAAATTGTGCTTTGTAAACTTCCAGTGTCATTCAAAGTGGCTTTATTTGGAAACTTAGCCGTTAGGAAATTAAAGAAACTGAGGTGTCACCTCCTTCTTTTTAATTTGATAGTTGTATCAATTTGCTTATTTTCATCAAGATAATCCCACTATAAATTATCAAGGGGCGCAGGGAACATATAACTAAATGAAACGCTAGGGGATATAAAGATGAACTAGTCTATAACAGAATGTTGGAGGCTCAATAATAGTGTTGATTGTAGCTAGAATTATTACATCCCTACTTGGTTTTATCACTATCTTGTCAGCACTCCCTTCATACAGTAAAGCATTTCTTCATCACAGATGCCAACACTTGATTCCAAGTATTGCCAGATGTTACAATTTGCTTACGATTAGATATGCTGCCCCAAATACAGATTATACGATGAAGGTATTTAATTAACATAACGGAGTTCAAGTGCTACACAGAATCAGTGAGTATTCAACTATTTTACTAGAAATGCCAGTTTTGTTGAAACTGTCCATAGAAATGGGTTATAAACTATTTGCTGAGTTACCAAGTGTTCTTGATGCGTCACCCTCATGAACTACATTAGAAGTAAACACAGGACTGCAGAGAAAGTCATTAGAGTGTTCAGTGTTCACATAGTCAATATGTAACATTCTGTGATTAAGAACCACAACCTCTAAAGAATGCTAATTATCTAAGCCCAGAGAAAAAACACAGAGCCACAGATTCTGTGGATAGATGAAATACTTTTGCATTCTGATACAAAGTTCCAATTCAGTTGATGCTAAAATAAAAATACCTATAAGTGTCAATGATTGTTGAGAAGCCGGGAGAGTTTTTAGACATAAACAACAAAAAAACAGAGGAGAACATTGGTAGCTTATCTTATAAATAGCAACTCAGCAGGTGGCAAGAAACCTAGGAAGAAAATTTTGAGATCATTCAAAGGGAC